TTCTGATTTCTCAAGGAAGAGTTAGGTCATACCTGTGTGCAGTCTCATTCACAATGCAGCCTGGCTCCTAAATTCATGCAGCTGCAAAGTAAATTTCCTGTCTCGCTGTTTATGCAGACATTTGGAGAATTTCAGACTATAAACTCTTTTGTCTGGACTAAAAATAATAACAGCGATTATAAACTACAACAAACATTCATAGCAAAACTAAATATAGTGTTCTAAGAACCACAGAGACTGCCTAAATAAATTATCAGGCATGTTTTGGGTTCTAATAGCAGAGGTAATCACTTTGAGAGACAGCAGTTATTACTGAAAAAATAAAGCTGCTTTTCTACTCTCTTTAATGAGAGCTGGCTACAAATGAGGGCTGTTTTGGAAGATGTGGTTTGTAAAGAAAGCGAACTAAAGTATAGTCTTTTTTTTCCAAAAACAGGTATGATCTAATGTGACGACTGCTTACCTGTGAGTGTTTTTTTCTCCTGAACTGTCTCAAAGAAGAAAGGCTTTTATTCTCCCTAATTATACCGCCATACAAAACTGCATTGAGAATCCAGGTTCCCACAAACTCTGAATTTAGAAAAAACAAACACTGCTGTTCTCATTTAATTTTGACTTTTGATGGCGAATTGGGGCTGCCACAAAAGGACTTATTTAGCTGTTGGTAAATCCAGGCCTGCCTGTGCAATTCTCCTTTCATGGGCAGACGGATGAGTGTGTGAATACATGAGATCAGAAGGATGTTGTTCTAATTTTATAATCCCCAGTGGTTTTGCAGGACAGCCCAGAAAGGCACACGTGAAGCACACTAGTGGGATTACTGAGATACGAGAACACAACTAGCAAACTCATTTTTTGCAATCGCAGGTAAATGTCAAGCACGTGCCTTGTGGACTGCTGTGTTTTTAGCTCTAAGAATGTAAAAGTGTGCAAACAAGTGGAAGGTATCCATCTAGCTTGTTTGATCACAAGCAGTTAGTTGATCTGAGGAACTCATCCAGCTGCTTCTGGTAAAGAAATCAGGACATCGTCTTCGACAACGTGGCTCATCAGTTTGTTCCAGACTCCTTTGTCAGAGAGTGTTGCCTGATCTCGCTTTTAAATTCCTTTAGCTTCCAATTGTGTCCTCTGTAAATGTTATAGTGGAACATCAGGTTGAGCAGTGTTGTGCACCGAGTCTGCGAAGACTCTTGCTCAAAAGTTGGTTCTGCTGGAATCTGCAACAAGTGTTGGTTTCTCTGCTTACAATATGAGACACTTTCTTGGAGTGCATTCACAGCTCTCCCAGAAGGCCTATGCACACTACAGAGGAATGTCCCTGTGAAACAGTCCAGGAGAAAAAAGCCCAACAGTGCTAAGCTTGGTTGTATAATGCACCATCAATACAGAGTGCCTGGAATACTCTACATGCTTACTTTCCCCCTGGGCTTTGTATCTTAAGCCAATTGTTAAGAAGCTGTGTGCAACATCCTTTATCTCAAGAGAGACTTCAGGAGAGTTCTCAAGTTTCAAATGGGATGAGTTGTCAGTTAGGCTAATTAACATCACTGTTTAAAAACACAGTACGAGAGTGTTTATTGACTGTATGGAACAGTAATGGAGACCAATGATATGCCTGACGTGCAGTCTTTCAAGTGGCACGTCCATCAGCCTTTGAAAGCCAAATTTGCCCGTGTTTTTGCTTAACACTGAGTCTCTTGAGCTGTACGTACCAATTTTGTGCAGGCTTCTCCTTGCTTATTTCTTAAACCTATTCCTGTCAACAGCCTTCACAGGAAGGCAGTTGTGATGCTCATAAAATAAATCTTAACTCTGATCATCTGAGTATCACAAATTGTGCGTTTCTGTGCCACCACAACTTCCTACAAGCTGTGGCTGTCCAGAGAAATTGTGATTACACGGGAAGTGAAACGGCTACTCTGAAAGAGACAAAGAAAACCCTGGCCCAGTTCAGGTGCAGAAATGATAGGAACGGCAGTATCCTTAAGTGATTACTGCCCACGCGAGGCGAGTCCAAGGCACATCTATCTTGGAAGCCAGAAGCTGATATGTGGTTGGGACTGTTCTTCACTGGGAATGGTGGGAGTTGCAGTTTTTAAATAAAGAGGAAAGCTTACAAATGCAAATCTAAAGGAGTCCAGAAAGCTGAAACAGCGACAGCTTTGTACCTCTCCACCGATGCAGATAAGCAAGATGTGCAGTACAGACAACCTGCAGATGGGTCACTGTATTAACACTGATTTCACAGTATGCTGAAACTCAAAATGCTTTTTTAGGCAGAAGAAACTCTGAAAACAAGAAAGCAAGGTTGCCTTTACTTTGCAGTAGTGCTTATTTCTGGAGCACAGGCTCTTTGAGGCTAGATTCACAGTATTTAACTAAGCTTTCTAACAAACTTTAAAAAAGGGTTTTGAGAGGCATGGCCAGTTTTTTCTTCATGTACTTTTGAAGCCAGGATATTTACAAAATCCACTTTGCTACCATGAGAAGTCTAGACTTGAGATTTCCTGGAGTCAGGTTTGGGGAGAGCAGGTTGATAGGGGAGTGTCAAACGACCAAGCCTGAAAAAGAAAGGTGTGGTCCTCTTTCCAGACAAAGAATATCCCAGGAAAAAAATTCCCTGCTGTCTTGCCCTATCTATTGAGCTCCTCCTGCTGCCTGTCACATTCCTTCATCTCCGCCTGGGCTCTATTCAAATGCACCCAGAGAATTAGTCACCTGAACACGTCTTTTCAGCAACCAGGCCCTGCACCTGTCTCGGGGACCAAGAGCGAGGGAGGTTCTGAAATTGCAATACTACCCCCACCTCCCCCCCTTTTCGCTGTTCCCCCAGTCCCAAATCCCTTTGCCTTGCCTTCCAAATAACACAGACTCTGGGATGAAGGCAGCCCTCAGCCAAGTGCTGTGTGCGTCTGCGAGTCTGCGGTCGAGCCCGAGCCATGCAGTGCCAGAAAGGCTCCACAGTAGCAGGTCACGAAACAGAACAGAGGCGTGATCCAGTTGCTGGCTGTGTCCTGTTGCTGACCACTGCCAGGCAGCTCTTTACGCAATTCAATTAATCGGAGCAGGGAGGGATGAAGGGAAGCAGCTGTTGTGTAATGAAAGGTTTCCCACCACACGAGAAAAGGAAAAAAGACTGGAGATACAAACTAATTATTTGCTTAGCAGATGCCCTGACTCACGGTGACATACAATGCATATAAAGTTGATGTGACATTTAAGTGCAAAGAAAAACAATTCAGCAAGCATGATAAATAAATAAAATGAAAAGGCTTGGGAGTGGAAAACAATGCTGAACAGCAAAGACTAAAACAATATTAAGACCATACAGAGTGTGGACACAGACTGGAAACCTAGACACCCTGTAGGTGTGTGTTTCTCCTTTACTGTGAACAAGTGCAATTTGCACATTACACATTGTATAAAACTCAGCAGATTTGAAATATTGTTCTGACTTTTCTGTTTTTTCAGCTCTTAAAGCACAGAAAAAACACCTGCTATTCTGCAAACTGAGCCACAAGCAAACTGATCAACTGATTAAAAACCACTGGTGGTATTTCAACAATGCTGTTTTTGAACAAATACTTGACAGATCAGTGGCATTCTTTTGGAGAACTCAGATAGATTTGGAATTAAAGTCTGAATCGAACTTTGTCTATTTAGCCTTTAAGAAAAGGAGGATTTTTAACAAAATCAGAAACTCATATTTGCCACAGCTGCAAAGAAAACATTTAGCCTCCCTTTATATCTGATCAATCAACAAGGCAAACGGGAAGATATAATGTAATTTCATTTTTTGTTACTGTTATGATGACTCTCAAGATAGGTATTTTCCTAACCTTGTTCTGCCATGAACTGATGGAGTCAGTCATCATCATACGCAGTCACTATTGGGCAGTTATGGTAGGGTTGGACGGGTCTGAACAAAACAGACATGTGATTGGGTAAATTGAGTGGAGGCGTGTTTCCTCCTAGAGGAAACCTCTCCAGTTAAAGTCTGGAACCAGGCTACTTTTCCCATATCTGCCAGGTCAGTGCTAAAGTGAACATGGAGAATGCCAGCAGCCAAGGTCCTCTCTTACCGTTTACAATCAATACCTGTTTAATATAGGTTCAGTTACCATCTAATGGTAAAAATCAACTTGTACTTACAGTATAATGTTATATACTGTGTAGTTAATATATGTAACTGAATCTGAGAATTTCTGCCTCCTCTGATGAGCCACAGATACTGTAGGATCCAGCCTTAACAAGCTCAGCACATATCCAACACTTGGCTACAATCACCTCCCGTTTGCACAAAAAACAAAGGGGATGAGTTAGAGAAGGGAAGGGTTATCACACAGCCTTCTGTGACCTCGGCATGAACCCCTACAATGTTGTCATTCCTCCTTGACTCCCAGCAGGACCTGGGCTTTGAGGTTTTTATTTCCTCGCTATAAATTGCGAGCTGAAAGGCTGAACTCCCAAGCCCGGCTCCCTGAGTCAGGAAGAAAGGAAAGGGGGGCTGGTTCTTGCCAGCTAAGATTGACCGTACATAAGAGAATCCTGCACACTCTTGCCAAAGAAAACAGGCAGCTCATTAAAAGGAGGGAGACAAGTGCTCTTCAGAAAGCACCACACCGCTCCAGGCAACAGAGAGGATAGGCATTGTTACTGAAACAAAGCTAAAGGGGGCTTTTTAATACACGGGTCTGTTGCATATCCAACTTCAATATGGAAACCTTCTTTAAGAAAAATTAGCTGACAGCACTGAGAAGGAAACCATATGACACAAAGCAAAGAAAACTGAAAGTGGGAAAAGAAAATCACTGTACTGTAAATCTCCAGTTTAGTTATGTCACGATTTCTACTGATATTTCGTATTAGATTATTAACACCCGACGGAGTCTAGTTCTAGTCAAGGTGAATTGCCAGTCAAGATGGATAGGCAAGGGAAGATTGGTATGTTACATCCAGTGCCAGAGAATAACAAGGTCTTGTCTTCTCTGTCTTTTCAGTTGAACCAGTGATCGGAAGTGAAGCCCTGCAGGAAGATCGCTATGTGGAGCTGTATGTTTTACAATGAGACAGATCACAGTGTGGACCACCAGCTCTGCCAGGACTTCGGGCTCGTCCTGTCCGTCTTCTCCCTCATCTACCTCATTGTGTGCTTCCCCGTGGGGCTGTGCTACAATGCTCTGCTGGTGGTGGTCAACCTCTACAACAAGGTCTCCATGACCATGCCTGATGTCTACTTTGTCAACATGGCCATTGCCGGGCTCGTCCTCAACATCGTGGCCCCCATCGAGCTGCTGGGACCTAGCTACACCAGGTGGCCCATCTGGGACTACAACAACGAGATCTACATCACTTTGCTCATACTGTTCAACATCTCCTCTTTGGTAATCATGTACTCCACCACCCTGCTGAGCCTGGACTACTACATCGAGCGCGCCCTGCCGAGGACGTACATGTCAAGCGTCTACAACACCAAGCATGTGTGCGGGTTCATCTGGGGCGGGGCGGTGCTCACCAGCTTCTCCTCCCTCCTGTTCTACGTGTGCAACCACGTGTCCACCAAAATCATCGAGTGCTCCAAGATGCAGAACAAGGAGGCAGCAGACGCCATCATGATGTTCATCGGCTACGTCGTGCCCGCGATAGCGGTCCTCTACGCCTTGGTGCTGATACTGCGGATTCGGAAAGAGTCCACGCCGCTGGACCAGGACTCCGGGAGGCTGGACCCTTCTATCCACAGGCTCCTCCTGACCTCAGTCTGCGTGCAGTTTGCACTGTGGACCCCCTACTACATGACACTGCTGGTCCACACGCTGTCCGGGGCGCAGGGGAGGTACCTCAGCAGACCTCAGATAACGGTGTATTATTTTGTCAGGTGTCTGGCCGAACTGCTGGCCTTTTCCAGCAGCTTCGCCATGCCGCTGACGTACCGGCACATGAACAAGAACTTCCCGCACAAACTGCAGCGGCTGCTGGCGAAGCTGCGCTGCGGGAGGCCGGGGTGCTCGCACGAGCGCTCGGCGGTGCAGCAGGTCGTCGCCTAGGAGAGGCCACGCCGCCGCCACCGCCGCCGCCACACTCCCCTCGGATCTGGAGTCGCTCACCGAAGAGCGGCAGGCCAGAGCAGCAGACGCCCCCGGGGAAAATCGGAAAGGAAGTAAAACGGACGCCGATCACGGAGGAGTCCCGGCCCACCTGCGCCGGTTTCGTGGACTGGAGCGCAACGAGTGCGCCGGGATGCTACGGGAATTTGTTTGCATTTCTTGCAGAGCTGGCTACTACGAGGAAACCACTAAGTGCTTTTTTTTTTTTTTTTTGAGCGTGCAAGCCACTTTGTTCAAACCATGTTAATAATTACAGATTCCCCTCTTCCCCCTTTCCCCTGGTTTGCAACATCCAATTCCAAGTCCACTCAAGTCTTAAAAAACAATACACTTCATGTATAACACACACACAATACCCGTACCTCATATTCACCCTGGGGCATTACGTAAAGAATCTCTCAGACTTCCAGGTAAACCCCAAACAAAGACTCATAAGCTATAGCAACTAATTGTGGCTGTACAGCATTCTGGGATTTCTGGGAAAGTGGCCGTCTTTGTGGGAGAACAGAATTTAGGGTGTTAATGGTGTATATTTGTTGCTTAGATGCACAGGAGACGTGTAAGTGGTTACACATCTACGTGCCCAACATCTGGCCACCTTCAGGAAAAAATGTGCTCCGCAAAGTAAGCATCTCATATTATTCACGGCTCAGTGAAATAACATTTCTAGAAAAGGCTCTCTGTCTCCAGCGGTGCTTATTGAGTAAATAATGAATTACAGAATTGTAGAGAAAAAAGGAAAAATGTTCAACACTTCTACTTAAAACAGCAATCAGGATGGTTAATATATAGACCCATGTGTCTTGAGTCTTGAAGTATTTCAGATAACACTATGTCGATACAGCCTAAATAAATGAAGAATCATTCCCTGCTGGGAGATGTTTCTCTGATCTACTCAAACACTATTCAAGCATGGGTTTATCTAGTAACCTGACAGGACGGTGCCTGTGGATAAACTTTATTAAAGTGTTGCAGAAGAATAGGACCAAGAGAAAAATATTTGAGAGTTGGTGTTGACCCACAAACAGCTGGAAGGAGACACCCTGCCCGGTTAATCTTTGCTTCTTGCGAGATCAAAGTCCCGTGAGTAATTCCTGACACTTTGAGTAGAAAGCCAGAGCTGTGCCAGTACTGTGTGACTGCTGAATTAGGCCGGCATCTCAGGGCAAGAAAAATAAACCTAGCGTGCTACCTGATTATCGATTGGGATCTCATGAAGTAATAACGTAGTAAAACACTTCTTCTCGTCTGCCACTTTCATGTGGTAGATGGACAAACTGATGATAAAGCTGTAGTTGCTATAAATGAATGATTTCATGGGGGGGAAAAAAAAACTATTTGTGGAGTGTGACAGCTTACGTTTGTACCACACATTCAGAAAACATTCAGTTTAAAAGTATTGCTTTGGAAGAGTTGCTAGTTATTGTACTTTGCACCACCTACGTCTCGTGTGAAACCTCCCTGAGACTGTCCCTTGGATTCTTGCCTTCCTGGAACAAAGACGCCCACTGAAAACCTGAGCCCTCATATTGTCACGACCTCTTTCGGTCATCACGGGCACGGCGCACAGGACTCCTCCATGAATAGAAGAGCCTATAGAATATACAGTCTACCAAAATATATATATATATTAAAAAGTACTGTAAGAGTTTTTTAAACCCACTTATGTAAGCAGAGTGTAGAATTATTTAATTTTCATGATGTGAAAGTGCAAATGTGTGACCTTTTTAATGTACAAATGACTATAATTTGTAAAAGCTATTTGTATATATAAAATGATGAAGTATCTGTATATATTGTACCCTAGAGGCTTAACAAACAGAGACCAGTACAAAATACAGTATTATTTTCTCACAGAGATATATTTAGATACTTTAGTTGATTATCTACAACACTTGCCTCTAATGAGTTCAAGACTGTTAAACCAATAAACTAACAGTGTGAATATTTAACACATTGGCTTTTGCTTGTTTTTCTTCAGTTCTTGTGAGTGTCCGAGATGCGTGTTTCTTACTCAGTCGCATTCTGGTCTGTCTTGGAATTCCATTGTACCACAACAGAGAGCAAAACCAGGTTAATGACCACATCTGACTGTAGAAATGTCACAGTGAGACATTCACGCTCAGCAGTGTGTGGAATATGCCTGCACTGTTATCTTGTTTGCATGCATATAATTCTGTAATTATATCTTTAGAAAGGGGTGCAGCCCCGTTTTCAGATTTTTCCTTTTTACTTCTGATGGATCTGGGTTTAAACACAGCTCAAGAGGCATGACTTTCTCATGGCTTTTACAGGATACAGACCCAATCTGTGCTTAGTGGACTGCCTGGCCTGAAGAGCCATTTTGGATTCCCGAGTATTAGAACAGTTATTGATTGGAAGAATTATTGATTTTCACCGATCTTTTACCACAAGAGTGCAAACACGTTCCACTATAGGTTTTCAAAAAATAATTAATTTAAGTTTGTGTGTTCAGGTTTAATACCAAACAAAGAATTAAAAAAAGACATATGGTAACTAAAAAAATGGAAACTTCATGTCACAAGTGTCAGTCAGGATCAAAATACGTAAGACGGTGGTTTGAATCCTTTATATACAATACTATGTATATATACATGATGCATGTTATGTGTTAAGAAGTGATTTAATTAGGATTAATATTACTGTATTTAAGCCTCTAATGCTAAATCATTAATAATGATTTGAGTGTAACTGGACCTGTTACTTCATAGCAGATAACTGTATATGGTACACAAGTTATATTATAATATGCACTTAAGTACATTTACTGCTCATGCAGAATTATGGTTAAGAGGTGGAAGATTACAAACAGGGAAGCCCAAGTATTCAGGAAACTTGTTTCAACAACATGGCTGTGATGGTCACAACTATTTCAAAGGCAAAACCAGCCTTGCTTTCACGCAAGAGGTAGGCCTTTTTAACTTAGGAAACCTTTGTTTAACAATACAGTCAACTGCCTCTCGTGACCTCTCATTGCTGAGTTAAAACTCCCCATTTCTTTCCAGGACTTGGCTCTTTGAGATCAGTTAAGCGCAGATGTGCAAACTGAACTGTGTCTGGAGATTAATTGTGCGTTACCTTTGCAACTGTGCAATAAGTTGCTAGTTTCTCACGACAGGCGGCTCCAGACATCAAAACGTGGGGTTAAAGCGGTGTAATGGTGGGGATTGATGCATATCGTCCGTGTTTTGGGTGTAGTCTCCCCTGGTGGCTGCTGCAAGAGCTGGAGGAGGCCTCAGCGACTCGCCCAGCTTTGGGAAAGCACCTTTCTCAGAGATGGGACTCTGCGGGGTTATCTCTCTCTCGGCAGCTGAGCGGAGAGGCCTGCCGCCGCCGGGCCACCCTTCCTGTGGCTCGTTTCGGATACAGAGTGAGGACAGCATTCTCGGAATTCCTCACACGTCGAAAGAGACGCTGTGGAGTTTGTCTCCGGACACAACAAGAATAATTTCCAGAGAAGTCCACACGCCACTGGATCAACGTCAACTTGCTCTTAGTAACTTCCTCTAAATATTAATGAAGGAGAGGTTGTCATCCACTTCACACACATATACAGAAAAAAATAGTACTATGTACATATCGTACTGTTTAAATGCATGCGCTTACATATAATTTTAATACACAACGTTATTAATATTACACATGTTCCTGTGGAGTTGTGGTTTGCTACCTCTCAGTTTGAAACAGCCTCAATCTGGATTTGTAATTATTGTAGAAGGGATAAAATTTAAGCCAGGTCAGGACAAGACACCAGAGCATTGCACCTTTTAAGCAGCTTTGAGGAGAGCCTCCTCTTAAAAAAAAAACTAAACATTTCATAATCAAATGCTGCCGCAATTCCACAACTGCCTAATGGATGCACAGTGTCGATCTCACTTCCATAACAAAGAGCAGTAGCTCCGACTTCGACGAGACTGTCAATAAGCAAGCTCTCTGGTGCCCGAGGCTACAGTCTGTACAGCTGTGCAGAGTGTGAATGCCGCTGTAGACGTTAGATGTTAAAGATCATATGACATGACAAGAAAATAAAAAGTTGCTATGTATACAACTGAGCTATAAATTGGTTTACAATAACCCACAGAGCATTTATCATTTTTCTTCATAATATACACCACACAAATGTGGTTTTCTACTTGAACTTATTTTGTCTCTTTACAATATGAAACCCGTAAAGCCTAACATGAAGCCATCGTAGTATCTCCTGTAATGTAAGAACTACAGGGTGCATTTGTAGACCATGAAAAAGAGCAAGTTAACTCGTTACAATCTCGCTGCGCTGGCTCTATGCCGCCACACCAGGAAAGATCTCCACTGCTGCCTTGGCGTCCAGGAGCAGCTGGCTGATGGCGGGGAGGGCAGTCTCTGGCAGACTCCGGGCACCCGCAGCGCAGACGCGCAGGAGCACAGCTCTGAGCTCACAATACCGGCACTGTCCATTACAGGGCCTCAAGCCACCTAGACCCTGCAGATCAAAGTCTGCCTGTGCAGCGAGACAACAATAACATTTTTCTTAATTAAACCAACCCTAGGTGAAGATATGGGAACCATTAAGAAGATTCAGTAGTCCCTTTTTTAAAACAGCTGTACACTGCATATTCTCACAATCAAAAACTCATCTACGCTTGGGAAAACCACAAGACTGGCTTAAGGCAGGCACTTTGTCTGGGCAGGAGTACAACAGACAAGTGTACTCAGTGTGCTGAGATAGGACTGTGTAAGCACTGTATTCGCCGACACAAGTTTAGTCATTAAGACGCCAGGCTTTCATCATCCATTTCTTCTGGGTTTACATGCTGAGCTCTTTCGTTACACAATGAGATTGTTCCTTTTTTTTTCAAGCAGGCTGTTTTACAATTATTTTCCAGATAAAACAAACAAGAAAGGCTTGGTCAAGCACACTGTTTCTTCAGGTTAAAGCCAAGGTCAGTTACTTTAATTCACTCATCCCCCGTTTTAGCTTTTTCTTTTAGCCAAAGCTGGACAGTTGTCAGTGACTCTACGCTGTGTCCTTCACTAGTCCTAGTTGTATGGACAACAGCTAGAATATCATGTCTCTCCTGGTCTCCGTTATCATCGCCAGCTAATGGATGAGCGCTGGCTTTCAAACTGCGACCAGTAACACAAAGCGGCCCTCCTGCCTAAAAAGGGAACCCAGGATCAGCCGAACTCAAGCCACCTTCCACCTGCAGCAGCGTTTATTTTACCAGCGCTGGGAACAGGGGGCCAGCGTCAACAGACACGGAATGGACCCCAGCAGTACCGAGCAGTCCCCCACGTTCAGCTAACCCCACCTCCCACCTGCTCTGCCTCTGGTGCGGTTAACCAGCGCAGCAATTAATGGCACTCAGATGAAAGGAAGCTGTAGCACTTCATCTGTTGTTCTCCAATCTCTGCGACAATCGCTTCAATTTGTTGATTCTGCGAAAGCTTCCAAAGCATCTCCAGAAAACCACAGGAACCTTGTCCCACCCGCCCCTACAACAACATCTGTTGTGCTAACCAACATATCAGATCAGACCCAGAATGTCAAGGAAGGATTTAATAGCTCATTAAAACTTATTTTGGCAGAGATAAACGGCACTGAACACTGCACACTGGATTTGTGCAGGCCAAACGTCCCAGCACTACTCACAGAGACACACGGAAAACGTTTACCAATGGAGTTTAAATCAGGTGTGCTTTTGTGAAATATCGCAGAGTTTACAACCAAGATCAAGATCAATACATTTCTCAAGTTTATTTCCACCAGGGACCAACTCTCTCCAGTTCTCCTCCTTTGACGAACATTTACGCTAAAAAGAGCCGGTAGGTAGATTAGAATTTAATCAGTAATGTTACTTAAAGCAGGGACCGGTCGGCACTGCACCAGGGACTGCTGTGGGTCTGTAGACTGGGGATTGAGAAACATGGCTCTAGATAATCTCAGTGATTATTCTGAGGGGCATGTTATAAAATAATCTGGCAGCGACCCTGGAATAACTGTAATACAGTAGGTCCTCTGCAGAGCAAGATTATGTAACCACTGGCTCAGTTGTGTTTAAAGAGATTTTGGTTTTATTGCTGGGTCTGAGCTGGATTGAAGCACAAACAAAACGTCCATCTAACAGCCTGAAAGTCAGGGGTGAATCGAGCACGCTGCTGAGAGGAAGAGAGTGTGAAAAACACTGAGCTCAAGGAACGGGTCCGACTGGCAGGTCACGACCTGCGGGACCAGTGTTCTGAGTCACTTAGAAAGCCCTGATCCAGCGTTATATCACCTCACGTTTTCAAAGAGCCTGTTTGCTGGTATTGAGAAAAGGAGACAAAAACTGAAGGCACAGTTCAGCCTAAAGAACTCCAACCCAGATTCCCTACAAAGCTTCTGGGGAGAAGAGTCACATATTCAGAGAAAGCAGACCGCACTCTGGTCAATTTTATTAAGTTCGTTATTTATTGATACGATCATTGTCCCTTCTCTTTTGTAGCCTTTCTAGAAAGACTTGAAGATTCAGTTAATGTCTCTCCCAAGAGGAAAGGAGATTACTTTGAGGAGCTTGAGAAGACGCAATCAATCTCTGCTGTGTCACAAAGGTGATAATTACTTACATATTTAGAAAAACGAGTTAG